CCAGGGTCAGACTTGGCTTTGGGCTTGAAACAGTGAAATGACCTCCAGATTCATGAGGTGGGTGTGGTCCTGATCTCAGCCCCGTCTATAAGGTGGGGAGGGGGAAGAGCATCCTGAGCTATCCGGATGTCCCAAAGACCAAGGACTAATCTAAAGCTATGAACAGTAGAATAACTTTTACAACACATCCAGGGTTTCAAGGGTTTCAAGGACCGTGAGGGTTTGGGGGTAATAATAGGGGCCCATGAGTCAGGGTGGCCAGGGTGGCCAGGCAGTCCCTTCCACATTCTCATGGGTTGCTGATTTATCCAGTCTTGCATCTGTGACAACTCTCTGGACACTGTCACTGAGAAGGCAGTGAAGACTGAGTATTGTGCCCTCAGTATAAGCTCTGGAAACAGTCCCTACTGTTCCCACTACTAAAGACCACTCCTGGTGTCCCTTCTAGCTCCTCAAGGGTGCAGTTTCCCTATAGAAATGCTGACGGCATCAGCTAGACATCTCCATGACTGCTTAGGGGCCATGCTCCATGCACCCGGGTTCCCTGCCCCAAACAGCTGAGTGTGTGAGTGTCATCAGCTCAGGACACTGTGGCAAAGCACCAGCCAGGGTGCAGTCACAAGGCTGGCTCTTCCTGAGGCTTCTTTCCTTGGCTTACGGTGTCCTCGTCTGGTCATACTGTGTGTCCATGTCCTGAACGCTTCTTAATCCATAGCCAATTAGATTAGGTCCCACCCTAATGATCTCATTGTGATTTAATCATCTTTTTAAATACCATGTCTTCAGAGGATGAATAAATGGCTTAATGGTTAAGAGCACTTGTTCTTGCAGAGGATCAGGGGTTCAGTTCCATCACACACATCATGGCTCACAACCATCTGTAACTCTAGTTCTTGTTGTAGAATATTAATTTAATAATATTAATGAAATGTAATATTACATTTGTTTATGCTGTGGAAATTTGTTTAATGATGCAAACATGTGTTGCATTCCTTCATGTTGCATTTGTTTAACCCTGTGAATCTGTGTTACTTTGCCTGTTTAAAATTCCTGTTTGGTCTAATAAAGAGCTGAACGGCCAATAGCAAGGCAGGAGGAAGGACAGGCGGGGCTGGCAGGCAGAGAGAATAAATAGAAGGAGAAAAAGAGGGATAGAGAAGGAGAGATCAAGGAGTAAAAAAAAGGGGGTACCAGCCACCGAGTAAGCATGAAAGTAAGATTACAGAAGTAAGAAAAGGAAAGGCCCAGAGGCAAAAGGTAGATGGAATAATTTAAATTGAGAAAAACTCGCCAGAAATAAGCCAAGCTAAGGCCGGGCATTTATAAGTAATAATAAGTCTCTGTGTGTATTTATTTGGGAGTTGGGTGGTGGGCCCCCAAACAGTAAGAATAAAAAAACAGACAATAAGAAGTTCTGAGGCATCCGATGTCCTCTTCTGACTTCTGAGGACACCAGGCACACAAAGGAGTGCACATACATACACGCAGGCCAAACACTCATACACATAAAATAAAAAATAAATAAATCCCAAAGAAAAGGACTCTCTTTCTAAACAGTCACTCAGAGGTGTTAGAAGCTAAGGCTTCTAAGCATGACTTTTCCACAGTACAAACAATTCACCCCAAAGCGGACAAGAGCCAAAGCAGAGAAAGGGTTTGAGGTCTCAGGACAAACCTGGCTCCTCTCCAGGGCTCAGAAAGAAGGTGGGCTGCTAGTGTGACTGACAGAATCCTGCAGAATGGATCTGACTGGACACCATTCCTTCTGCACATTCTGGGGTTCTCTCCATGGTCTGCCAGCACTGTGAAGTTTTCAGAGCCCATTCCCTCCACACAGGTCCTACGCAGCAGCTCTGGTTTCTGACCATTGATGTAAGACTCAGTCTATGTCGCCCAGGCCATGGAGGAGTTGTCACAGGGGCGGAAGAACCAGAGTGACAAGACCTGGTCAAGAAGAGAAAAAAGTGACTCAAGACCATGTGGCCTCAGGATCCCCCTGCTGGTGGCCCTGTACACACTGGCTCCCCCTGCTGGTGGTCCAGTACACACTGGCTCCCCCTGCTGGTGGTCCAGTACACACACTCTCTGGCTCCCCCTGCTGGTGGCCCTGTACACACTGGCTCCCCCTGCTGGTGGCCCTGTACACACTCTCTGGCTCCCCCTGCTGGTGGCCCTGTACACACTGGCTCCCCCTGCTGGTGGCCCTGTACACACTCTCTGGCTCCCCCTGCTGGTGGCCCTGTACACACTGGCTCCCCCTGCTGGTGGTCCAGTACACACACTCTCTGGCTCCCCCTGCTGGTGGCCCTGTACACATTCTCTGGTGCCCCAGCTGTTTTTAGAGTGACTTTAAGGACAAAGAACAGCAAGAGCGACCCCACGACCCCTCAAGTTAGCATGTAGCAAGTTTTGCTTTCAAATGTCCTTCCTCGAGGGAATAAGACAGTACAGTCGGAGCTGCCCCCTCTCAATCCCTTCACAGATACAACCATAATCCTGAATCTAGTGCTTCTCAAGTGTTTATCACATTCATTTGTTTGCTTGTTTATGTGTGTGTGTGGGGGGGTGCGTGTGTGCCACAACACACGTGTCAAGGTCAGAGGACAACTCCTGGAAATCAGTCCTCTCAACTCAGGTTTACAGGCTTGGTGGCAGTTGTCTTTAACCCCGAATGATCTTACTGGACCTCAAATGTTTTGTTTACTGCATTTAAAAATATTCAAGTAATATGTATTGTTTTGCACTTGTAGAAACTCATAGACACCAGCAACCTTGGAGAGATGGCTCAGTCAGTAAAGCACTAGTAGATAAAGCATGAAGACCTATATTTAATCCCCAGAAAACATGTGCACACAGCTGCGGAGGAAGAGACGGGAGATTCCCGCAGCTGGCTGGCCAGCTAGCCCAGCCTAATCAGTATACCCCAAGTTCAGCAGAGACTCTGTCCCAAAAAACAAGGTGAACTGCACCTAAAGAATGGCACCCAATGACAGTTACGTAGCTAGACCTGTTTGGGGAGCCCTTGCCAGTGGAGCCAGGACTTAGCCCAGTTGCATGAAACGGCTTTTTGGAGCACATTCCCCAGGGTGGGATACCTTGCTTCCATTCCCTAGGGTGGGATACCTTGCTCAGCCTTGAAAAGGGGGGAAGGGCTTGGTCCTGCCTCAACTTAGTATGCCAGACTTTGTTGACTCCCCATAGGAGGCCTTACCCTCTCTGAGGAGTGGATGGTGGATGGAATAGGGGGAGGTGGAGGACGGGAAAAAGGGAGAGAGAGGGGGAACTGGGATTGGTATGTAAAATGAAAAAAAAAACTTTTTAAAAATAACTTTAAAAAAAAGAATGGTACCCAAGGTTGACCACTGCCCTCTAAGTGCACCAACATATGTGTGCACACGCATACACACAACACAAACACATACATATAACTGCCTATAACTCCAGCTCCAGGAGATTCAATACTCCCTTCTAGTCTCTGTGTGAAAACACACACACACACACACACACACACACACACACACACACACACACCCCTCTTCCCAAAGGGGGGCCATTTGCATTTTCTCTCGCATCCATCCAAGAGCCGTCACTGGACAGCCACCAAGTGTCTCTGGCTCCCCCAGCTGCTCAATGGTAGTATTACAATCCCAGCATCCAAAGTATTTGCTGAGCTGGACCTGAAGGATGGATTCTGGGAAGACTCCTGAGCTGGCTTTAGCCACCACAACAGAAGAGACCTTGGAGATGAGAGCTGCCCTGTCCCCTCAGGTTCTAGGCAGCTGAGGTGTGCAGTAAGATGCCAGCCGAGCATCAAGCAGGAAACATGAGGACAACAGGCCTCATGCTGTTGTAAGCCTCAGACACTTGGCAGTTTTTGTCATTGCCGCAGACAGAGTCCATCCTGACTAACACACGTTAGAAAGTTTTCTTTTAAATATTAATCTTTAGATTTTGAGATTAAACCCTATTCATGATTATGGAGACTCTGGGTAGGAGAGAGGGCTTCATACACAGTGCGCGCGTGCACACATACACACACACACCACGTTTGAACCAACACAAGAGCAAGCTAAGGGAACTGACATGTTTCCAAAGGACCACGCAAGCATATGCTGGTAGGTCCATGGGGTTTGACAGCTGTGCCCAGCAGCCTTTGAGGAGACATGTTATAGTTTGTGTATGGAGTATCCCCACCCCCTACCCCACCCCCCAAAAAAGGCTCACAGATTGAAAGGTAAGAGTGTTATCTGGGGAGACTCAAGGTGGGGTGAGACCTGGATAACGTGACAAGGGCCTGAGTCCTTGCAGGATATTGCCCCTGGCCTTTTCCAGTCCTGCTCAGTCAGGTTCAGGCCAACCATGCTGTGAACATCTTGTCTCTGCCACATGTTGCTGCTGCTTTGGGGTTCTGTTTAAATGCATGGGGTCAAGCAAATCTTGGGCTGACCCCTCAAAACCCTGAGCCAAATAAACCTTCCTTCCTCGACACTGTTTCTAGTTGGGTATAATTATTACAGTGATGCAGACGTAAACAATACAGTCCACAAAGTTACCATTGTTTTTCTTCGAGTTGTGGCAGAAGTCAATGCCCTGCCCCCCAGTCTGTGGCCTGAGGCCTCTTCAGTGACACACACACACACTCCATAGGCACAAACCCATGGAAATACACTTATGTGCATGCACACCTGTGCACTCACACCTGAACACACACTGTCCCCAGAGCATGTGGACAAAAGTCTCACCCATAGCGGGAAACCCTGGAAAGGAATATAAGGGGCTTTGCTCAACCAGTGCTCTGAACAGACAGAGCCCAGAGCCCAAGGGAAAGCAATACAGGGGGCAGGGTCACATTGTGTCTGGTGTGCAAAAACCAGTAACTGGACCCCAGGGGTCCCTGAGGAACCCCCTCCAAACCATCGAGCCCCGCCCAGTTCCCAGAAGCCATCCACACAGTGGCCAGCTCAGACCCTTGCAGAACCAACTTACACCACACGACCAGAGTGGCTATGCCTGAGTTTATTATCAGAAAGCAAAGAATGGAACAGAAACTCTGAAAATAAATATCTGCAGAGAAGAAGCCAAGCTGAAGTGGAGGAAGCTCAGAGAGTCAGCAGGATGGTACAGGATGGGAAGGGATGTGTACAGTAGAACCCATTCACTTCCTTCCCAGAAATCGGGGACTGGAACGCCGGACTCGCTGGGTCTGCGGGAGCCCACAGACGGTGTCCTGGCACAGACAGCTCTCAATGTGTGTGTAGGTATGGCTCAGCTCACTGCCGTCTGGACATTCCAGGGTCACCTGGCGCTGGCTGGTCCTTTCTTCCTTGCAGCAAGAACATTTGTGATCCAGATCCTGGAACTGGGCAGAGTACCTGGGGACATGAAGGGCAGAATGAGTGCCAGCTACCTGGGAACAGCATCAGCAGCCTCCCTCACTGGTTCCCTAGTCCTGCTCCTGCAGTCCAGTCAGCTTTAGCCCCCGCCCCGAGCTGAGCCCCAACCTATGTTACTGCTGCCTTCTGAGCCTGTGCCTTGCCATTCCAGCTCCTCCCAGAATCCCACACTCTTGGTGGAAGGCTGCTTCTGTCCTTGAGCTCCTCCACCCCTCCATCTCCCACTTCCAGCCTGGGACTCACATGGCAAAGGTCCCGCAGGAGCCGGAACAGTAGTTCATGGAGACATTCTTGGTGCAGCCATTGTGGGAAATCTCCTTCAGGACAGGGGTGACAGAGCAAGGGGCTGCGGTATGGTTTTTAGGGATGCCTGTGGAAGGAGATGCAAGTGTAGGGGTGGTCAAGACTCTCTCTCTCTCTCTCTCTCTCTCTCTCTCTCTCTCTCTCTCTCTGTCTCTCTGTCTCTCTGTCTCTCTCTCTCTCCCCTCTCTCCTCTCTCTCTCTCTCTCCCTCCCTCCCTCCCTCCCTCCTCTCCCTCCTCCTCCTCCGCCTCCCCTCCCCTCCCCCTCTCCCTCCCTCTCCCTCTATTGTACTGTTTCCTCTCCCTCCTCCTCCTCCTCCTCTTCCTCCTCCGCCTCTCCTCCCCTCCCCCTCTCCCTCTATTGTACTGTTTCCTCTCCCTCCTCCTCCTCCGCCTCTCCTCCCCTCCCCCTCTCCCTCCCTCTCCCTCTATTGTACTGTTTCCTCTCCTTTTTCCAAGCATGGCTAGTCCTCAACTCCCAGTCTCACTGCTCTTTCAGGAAATGGGCTCCAGCTTGCAGCCGGGTTCTACCCAGCCCCTTCCTGGAAGGGGACTCAGATCCCTATACATCCACACAGGCGAAAGAGACACAGCAGGAACAGGAGTCCTGAAGAGTTCTGCCCTTGTGTCTTCCTGCCCAAGGTTCTGATGAAGCCCACCCACCACCCTACCCATCTTCAGCTGTACTCACATGTCTGACAGCAGCCATTAGGCATGTACGTGATGGAGCCCTGAAGGGAAAGAAGAATGAGGAGGAAGCCCAGAGCACCCCCAGCAGGTGAGTGGGGTGCATAAGAGCTGTCCCATAGGAGGGTACGGAACAAGCCTCCCGGAAACCAGGCAGCTGGTGCATCAGGCAGAGCACACATGGCCAGTGCCATAGGGGTCCCACTCACCGGAACACAATCACTGGGGTTGAAGTCCGGGCAGGTGATGTTGGAGACAGAGGAGATGAGCTGGTTGTTGATTTTTATGCAGCTGAAGAAGGTGCACTTGTCACTGGGGTTTTTCTCTATGTCCCCAGGCTGTGGACACAACACAGTTAGAATGCAGTTAAGCGAGTGCCCCTCCAGAGGCCAGCCCAGGAAGATGTGGGAGGTACAACTTCACAGACAGGAAGCTGGCCCTTAGGTCCAGAGTCACTGGGCAAGTGACACCCATAAGAGTCTTGGAGACAGGAACTTACCTGCTTGTGGTTACAAAACACAAAAATCTCTAACCTAGGTCTAGCCTGTGAACTAGGAAGTGACTCTGAACAGGGAAAGGATCTTTGAAAATCTCAAGGAAAGAATCTGGAGATGAGGTCATCCTACGCCAAGATGGCCCTAACTCCAGGGATGAGCATCCTTGTAAGAGGAGATATAGGCTCAGATAGAAGGGAGGCTGCTACACGGAGACCAAGTCAGAGATGATGTAAACACAACCAGTGTCGTCTGAAGCCCAAAGAAGAGGAGGCAGGAAGGACTCCTCACAGCTTCTGCCAGCCTTAATCCTGGACTTCAGAGCTCCAGAAGTGGAACAGCCATACATGTGGTTTTTAGCCACCCAAATATGGTCACTCATACCAAGCTATGTGGGACCCGGGATGACTCAAGGCCAGTGGCTGACAAGCTCATGGGAGGAGCCTGGAGCACTGCTCATTGCCTGTGAACACGCACCTTCAGGATGAGGTACTGCTGGTTGGGCCCCTCGATGATGCAGTGGGTCTGCTGGCACTTCCTGCAGCACTCCCCAGGGACCTCCACAAGTTCAAAGCCCTGTGGACACAGGAGAGGACAAGGTTGAGATCAAAGCCTTGTCCCTGCAACCAACCAAGTCCTGGGATCACTGGAATACCTCACCTGTGGGCAGGAATGGAACAAGTACTATGGTGGGAGGCACAATTTGGCAAGGAAGAGTTTTTTTAAAAAAAATTGAAGGCAACTCATGGAAATGAACATGGAACTGTGACCTCTTAGAAGACAGGAAGAGGGTAAACTGAGGCAGGAAGAGGGAGAGAAGTGAGGAGCCGCACTTACGGAGCTGCAGGAGATGTTGCAGGGCACATGGGTACAGGAGATGATGTTGACCTGAGTGTCGTTGTCCATGGTGTCGGTGCATACACAGTCCTGGCACTTGGTGGAATGCACTGGAGATCCAGGCTGCAGGAGCAGGCAGAAGTAAGGGAGCCGCACACACCATCACCCATGCATACTCCATTGTCAGGAGACAGACAATGCCACCATCCTCCCTGTCCCCTCCCAGTTCAGAACTCACCTGGTATTCAGCATTCTGGTGCACACACACACCCTTGGGTTCTTGGAAGAAAGAGTGGGAAAAGCCATCAGAAGCATCCTGAGCCTTAGCCTCCCACACACATCTAAGCAGGCTTAGGTCTGGATGGATACACAGCCGAAGCCATGATAAAGAAGCACAAGGAGAAAGCATGCTCCCTCCACTGACCCCTTGTTCACAGCCTGCCCTGCCTGTGGCCTTCTCTTGCCCGGCTGGCCTCACTTACCACAGGAGTAAACTGGACAGCATTTTCCAGGCACATGCTGGCTCTTCGCTTCAAATCCCAGCAAGCATGAGGGGCGTTCTGCTTTGCACAATTTGGTGTCGCATTCTGAAGGCAGAGCAAGAGTGTGGTGACCAGGATGGATCACACAGGCAGAGCACCACCTCCCACTGCATAGCATGGGTCCAGGCCCCTGTGGAGCCCACCAAGACCAGTACTTGAAGTACTTTGGAGCAGGGGCTCCTGGTCTGATCCAACAGCCACTACCACTGCCCTCTCAAGTGAGTGTAACCTGAGCTCACCAGTGAGGAAATGGCGGCAAGCCTCACCTACAGCAGGCAAGCTTGGTTACACTAGGAGCCCCAGCAGGACATAGCCCCAGTGGTCTGAGAATGACTCCCATGCCCCAGGGGTGTCCTTACTGCATGAAGTAATGTTGCAGCACTTGTCATCTGGGTTGACCTCCTCGACAAGGTAGGTGCCATCCTCCTCGCATGTGGTCTGGGTCTCCCCAGCACATTTCTTGGCCTGGCAGACAATGCCACTTCCACCCTCTAGGCAAACACAGTCCTTGCAGTCAAACTCAAATTGTTCTCCAAACTGCAAAGAGGAAAGATCAGATTAACACCAGGCTAGCCCTACTATGGCACTTCCATGGCCAACCGGGGAGAAAAGAGCTAGATCAGGTAGCCAGATGAGGGGTCAAGTGAGAAAGCCATATCCCCCACCATCCCTGAGCTCATAGGGAAGGTTTAGGGACAGGCCAGCACCTTTCCATTCAAGGTCACTGATATCCCACAGATGTTACTTGCTCACCGGCACCCACCAACATCCTCCTGGTATGCAACAGACACACCACACATATCTCACATTTAGTCAGAGTATATGACTGGTGAGTGGATGGGTGGATAGATGAATGGATGGCCTGATGGATGAGTTGATGACTGGAAAGATAGAAGGATGGATGGATGATGGATTGGTGGTTGGTTGCATGGATGAATAGTATGTAGGTAGTTGGATGGGTGGATGGATGGATGGATGGATGGATAGATGCTTTGGTAAAGGATGGATGGGTAATGGGTAGGTTTTTAGATTGGTGGATAATGGATAGATGGATGAATGGGTGGATGATGGATAGATTGAGGGTGGGTAAATAGATGAATGAATGAAAGATAGATAGATGATAGATGGGTGGTTGGATGAATAGATAGCAGATGGGTGAATGGAGAATGGGTGGTTGGATAGATTGATGGATGTGGAATAGGTAGGTGAATGATGAATTAATGAATGAATGGAGGATGGATGGATGAATGAAGGATAAGCTAGTGAATATGGACAGGTAGATGATGGTTGGTTGGTTGAATGAATGGATGGATGGATGGATGGATGGATAACAAATGGATGATGGATGGGATAAAAGATAGATGAATGATGGGTGGGTGATAACATGGATGGCTAATGGATGTACAGATGGATAGTTTGGATAGATGAAAGGATCATGGATAGGTATTGGATGGATTGATGGGTGGTTGGACAGATAATGGATAGATGAGTGGATAGATGGGTGGGTGGATAAATGGATGATAGCAGATGGTTAAATGGGTGACAGACAGCTCAAGGTAATGGACTGATGGACAGATGTACCAATGGGCAGATGAATGAGTGGGTAAATCTCACCCAGGACTTACATAGCTCATGACTCAGTCTTTGGAATCCCAGGCTGTCATATCACTTCACCCCACTCATTCCCCAGAGCTCAGGATTTTAGGGAGAATTACCCCAGCACACGGGAAAACTTACCTCTCTGGGGACATAGTCGGGTCCCACACAGCCTAGGAAGAGAGAGGAAACAAACTCTGTTAACACTGTCATGATATTAGAGGGAACAGGGATGCACTTCCTGACCCTGCCTCTGTAGACAGGGAGGCAGCAGAGGCAGGAGACATACCACAAGTCTTCACACAGACATCATAGCCAGGGGCAAACTTGGTGGTGCCTTCAGGACAGAAGCAGCCTTCCACCAAGAGTGTGGAATTCTGGGAAGGGCTGGAATGGCAAGACACAGGCTCAGAAGGAAGGAATGATGTAAGTTGGGGCTCAGCTTGGGGACAGGGCTAAAGCTGACTGGACTGCATGAGCAGGACTAGGGAACCAGCAGGAGTCTTCAGGCAGCATACCTGGACTGGCAAGTGGGTTCTTCTGCAGGGCCACAGGCCTGGTACGCCCTGTGAGATGGACACTCCACAGCTGCAGAGGGGTGCAAGGATCAGGAAGGTCATATCCAGAGAGACAAGGTTGCCCCTCCCTGCAGTGACAGAGCTACCCAGCCCTTCCCACATAGGACTTCACCCCATGCCAACAGAGGATGGGGAGCTGCCCAGTTCCCTTGCCGACCCACAGATCCCCAGCACAGGGCAGCACATGGAGAGAGATGCGTGGTACTTACAGCAGGCCCCCTGGGTATGGTTCCGCCAGTCAATGCAGGCACCTTCCTTGGCACAGAGGGCTGCATAGGCCTGTACACTGGCACACTCCATACCAGAGCCAGGCACAAAGCAGCTATCAAACAGGCAGGCTTCATAGTAGTGCTTGGGAGGCACGAAGGGGTGGCACTCGGAAAACAGGCTATGCAGGGAGAGATGGGTCACACTCTGGTCAGCACCCCGGCCTCTTCACAGGCTTCCTGGACCTCCCTTTACCCTACTGGAGCCTACTCAGAGGCACCTGCCAAAGAGGCACTATGGCTACAGCAGCAGAAGACAGAAAGTTCTGGCTTCCAGGAAAGGAAGGACAGGTGCCTGTGCCATCAGGCATGGAGAGACGTACTCTGAACACCTGAATGGTCACTGATTGTCAGGATGTCCCCTTCCAACAATCCTGGCAGAGAATCACCTAGCTTTGACTTCAAACACCTCCCAGGGACAGGGAACGTCGTCCTGTGGCTACCAGATTTAGGAGTTCCTGACCTGTGTCCAAGCTCAAACCTGCCTCCCTGATATGCTAATGTCCTCTGGTCAGTTGATCTGCCCAGGGCCTCCAGCTCACCTGAGCCTGCAGCTGGCCATGAGGTGAGAGATGTCTGAGAGCAAAGAGAAGTGCTGGGGCGGGGGATGTCAGGGAAGATAGCTAGGGCCTGGGAAAGCAGAAGCCAAGTCCTGGGGCCCCCTGGGACCCGACACCCATCCACAGTGATACCCCAGCTCTTCCAGGCCCACACAGGGGCTGCTCGGGCTGCTCTGCCTACTCGGGAGACAGCAGGGACAATAGAAAGACGAGACCTCTTGAGAGCCTGCTTTTTTTTTTTTGAGACAGGATCTCAATAGCCTAGGCTTGTCCTGATCCTCTTGCCTCCACTTCCCACAGGTCACCTGTCCTTGATGAGCTGGCAGATAGGAGACGCAGTGCAGTTCTTGGGCAAGAGCCCTGGTGTCGTGATGGCTGGGCGCTTGGTGGTGAAGTCACTGTGAGGACAGTGTGGCTTGGAGGGGTCAATCACCAACCACTGGTCAGCCGCAACTTCACAGTCGGAGATGATCTCCCCGCTGGGTAGGATACAGTCGTCGGCAGTATTGTTGGTACAGGTACCTGTACACAGAGAAGCCACCCGTCAAGCCAGCACCAAGACCACACTATCAGAGACTCAGGTCAAGCCCTGGCAGCTCTCCTTCTCCTGCCCAGGCTCCCTGTGTCCCACTGGTCAGGCAAGAGGGAAAAGTCAAAGCCAAGCTAACATCTGCGGCCTCTCACAGGGACCAAACACAAGACATTGCCACAGTGCCCGTCCACAGAGGAACAGAGAACCCACAGCTAGGTGACAGGTGTTCACACCCAGTCTTGCCCTCCAAGGAAAGCGGCTGGGGGACTCACCACACTGGCCCTTTGTGTTGTTGCCAAACATGCGGTAGGGCAGCCGGATGGAGAAAGACAGACCGTTGTAGGAGATCTGGGCACCCAGCTCGGGGATGTCCACCATAAAGTTGATGCCAGATTCGTATACCTGCAGCCCATACTTCTTGTAGGGCAGAGCCACTACCTGCTTGTTCACTTGCACCTGTAGTCAACATGTCCAAGTCAGGGAGGGCCTCAGAGACAGGAGCAAGAGCCTGCCACCTGCCAGAGGCTTGTCCTGCTCTGTCCTGTCCCACCATTGTCCTCTGGAAGCCATACAGCTGATCAAGAAGGCCAAGTTGCACCTTGGAATAGCACCTGGGATATCTCTACCCCTATCTAAAAGGGGATCTTTTCCTGTCCCTCACCTCTTTCTCTTCCCTTCTTGCTTCCTTTCCACCATACTGGGGCAGACCTTTGTCCCAGCTCATCCCAGGAGAAGCCAAAGAAGGCTCTTCCCAGAGACTTTGAGGCACCATGAAAGGGTCAGGGCTCCTCAGATGTTTCAGTCAACATCCCCAATGACCCCAGAGGATAGAGAAGACTCAGCTAGACACAGTCACTTCCTGTTCACCTATCCTCATGGAGGGAGTATCTTGCTCACTTAGAGAGCCCGTGAGAAGGGCTGATATGACACTAAGGAGGCCCTGCATGTGCCATGGCTCCAGGCTGGGCCAATGGACCTGCAGCTTAGTCCTCTGTTGCCTGGGGCCTACAGTATAAGGCCATGGCAGACACACTGTGGATGCCCAGACAGCCCCAGCCACATACCTGCACCTCAATAGGCATCAAGTGCACAGTCTTGATTTGCACTTCCTGGGTCTCATGGCGCACAATTAGTGTGCGGGGGCAGGACACTTGGTCATTGACATCACAATGGTAGTTGTCAATGTAGACCCCAAAGTTGTCCACCTTGGAGATAATCTCCTCCACCAGCACGTAGGTACAGTTACCCTGGTAACTGTAGTAGAGCCCATCAAAGGTGACAAAGTGCGGGTCTCCCCAGCCGGTACAGTAGCCTGTGGAAGAAGCTCTGTAAGTTGATGTCACCAAGCCAGAACCACTGGAATCAAATCATGGTCAGGATTCAAGGGATAGGCTGAAAAAACAGCAGTAACTAAGGGATTCTGAAAAACCTGGTCCCCAGGTTGAGCCACTAGGGGCATCCAAGCTGGGGCAGATCTTCTAAAAACATCTTCCCAGTTGGTCCAGAGACACCCCCTCTTCTGCAGGGTGAGACCTTACTTTAGAGCCAGAAGGTCATTCCTAACCTCAGAAGCATCCTTGCTCAGAAAGGTGCCTCTGCCCCACCAGTCAAGGCTTCTACCTACCCAAGCTCCTACCCGGGGAGACATAAAGGGTATTGAGAAGTCCCTAAGACTGTGTGCACAGCCTACAGCAGGCACTTAGCAATCAAGGTCTGTTCCCAGAGGCTGGCCCTGCAGTCACTGGGACCAAAGAAGAAAGGGCCCTGGCAGGTGCATCCCCAGATAGCTAAGGGCCTTACAGTCACACTCCCAGTGCCAGCAGCAGCCATCAGGATCAGTGACGCGCACGGGCTTGAGGCCATTGGAACAGGTGGGCATGGGTGGGGGGTTGCACTCCTTTTCCACAATCTCTACTACGTTGTCATATTTGCAAATGGCCATGGTACAGTTACACAGCCACCAGGTCTCATTCACCTGCAGGATGGAGGGTGTGAAACAGTCAGCAGGCAGCCTAGCTCAGCTTCCCCAGTCTACACAGGAGGACAGGACGCACTCAGGGATGGAGCTGAGGGAAGCTAGGATGAAAAGAGAGAGGGCCAGCAGACCCTGTGCCCACGATGTTCTACTGGAGAAAGTGCAGGGTGTGGGGATACGGGCATCTTGAACAACGAGGAAGCGTGTCATTCAGATGGTGGGTGCCTGGACGTGGACCTGTTCAGTGCCAGGGTAACAAGCCACATACTGCCCACTGACCTGTCTAGGAGGATCAAAGTCTTGGCACTCAAAGATGGAGGTTGTGGTTGGAGTGCCAGTTGTTGACTTGGATGATGTGGATTTTGGCGTGGAGGGTGTCGACTTGGAAGACGTGGTAGATGGTGTGGAAGGTGTGGTCGTCAGAGGGGATGTTGGTGTTGAGGGTGTAGAAGTTGAGGGAGTAGATGGACAGGACCAATTGAAGAACTGGACTTTGCAATCCAAAGAGCAGTTCACATAATAACAAGTGTCCCCAAGGGTATTGTTGTAGACCAGTTCACCTAAGAAGAGAAGGAAAGAGAAGAATGTAGTCTTTACACCATCCAAAGGCATAGCTGGACACTAGAACACACTGATAGACTCCATGGAGGCCATGGGGAGGGGCTTACTGTACTGGGGGAGGGTCCTTAGGGGAGATGACCAGGCTTAAATGAGGTATGAGGGTGAGCCCCCTAGCACGGCATTAGTGGCATTACAAGAAGAGGAAGAGAGACCAGAGTTGGCACATTTGTGCCACCTCAACACCTGATACCTGCATCATGCTTTGATGCAGAATGAGGAACTCATCAGGTGCCAGTGCCATGTTCCTGTACTTCCTAACTCCAAAACTGTCAGCTGAATGACCTATTATTTATAAATCACCTGGCCTCAAGTATTTTGTTATAACAGAAAACAGACTAAGACCACCCCTATTTGTTCTCCTGAACTTGGAAGAGCCCTGACTCTCTGGTTCATGTTCCCAGCAAGGCAAAGCTGACCACAAAAGCATCCACCCATGACCAGCATCCAGCTTCCTGAGGAAGCTCCATGTTGGGATCTGACCCTGGTTCTACTCACTGGAAAGAGCAGGACCAGCTTGAGCTTTGTGAACATTAGAAATGAACACCATGGATACCTGGGCCATAGAATGTTCCATTCAAAACACAGCAGATAACCACGGTGTCAGTGTTGGTCCAGGCAGTGCTGGGAGAGGTGATTGGGGAGACTGAGACTGTCCCCCAAGAGGAGGTCCTGGTGGTCTCCAAAGTAGTTGGTGTGGTTGATGAGAGCCTTGTCTGGGTGACGGTTTCCGTGGTGGACACTGGCACAGTGGGGGGTGTAGGAGTGGACGTGGAGGGTGGTCTGGTGGTGGTTGAAGTTGGCATTGTTGTGGTCTTTGAGGAGGTAGACACACCTGTAAGAACAGTTACATTGTGGACCGATGGCACCGTTCATCTCAGATGCTGCAGAGCTCAACCTGCAAGCACCACCACAGAGAGAGCAGCTGGCTCAAGAAGCCATGGGGAGGGGTCAAAGCCTTATATCCACTCACCAGGATTTGACATCACCATGCACACTGTGTGACTGTCACACTGCACACTGGCATCTGACAGTGCCAGACTAGCTACCCTCCAAGGCCTCTTGTGCCATGCCCAGACAGAGAGTGGCCCTCTGCCTTACACCAGCGCTGGCCTGATGCAGCCCAGGACTTCCCTGGGAGAGCTTTCCCCATAGAGTCCCATCAGTGTTGGGCGACCAAGTTTATGCTGAAGTAGCTCTTTCTGAGGAAAGCCTATCTACAGAAAGACAGTGATCTTTGTTTCCAGCCAATTCATCACTCCCAGGGATCTGACTCAGGGGACAGAGAAGGCCCACTTAGCCTGCCTCAAACCTTCCAGGGGACTGGCCTCCCTGGGCAAGAACAGGGTCATGAAGCACAAAATGTTGAACCCAGGCTCTAATCTTGAGGCCACAAAGCTTCCCTGATGAAAGGAAGCTATCCTAAGAGAGGAGGAAAAGAGGTGACTTCACATGTGTGCTTACCAAGAGTTGTGGTAGGTCCTGGTGTTGATCCTGGAGGTGAAGAGGGTGTGCTGCCCACTGAAGAAGTGATGAACGGTGATGTTGTTCCAGGTGATGAAGGTGTGCTAGATGTTGCTATGGTAGTTACAGGGGTGCTTGGAAGGGTGATGGGCTCCGAGGGTGGGGGAGAAGTGGACACAGTGGTCACAGGCGTCGATGGCTTGGTTGGAGGTTTGGAAGAAGTTGGTCCTGTAGTAGGTACTGTGTTTGTAGAAGTAGAGATCTCTTTGGTTGTGGTGGGTTTGGGGGTTGGGGTTTGGCTAGTAGAAGATGTTGGGGTTGTGCTTTCAGTAGAGGTAGAGGGTGTAGTTGGGGTTTCTGAAGGGGGGGGAGAAGGGGTTGGAGTCTCTGTGATTATGACAGTGGCTGTTGGGGTTGTGTAATGTGTGGTGGTAGTAGTAGTCACAGTAGAGGACGAGGGTGGTTTTGGTGTGGTAGTTGAGGCTGGATTTGGTGTCTCTGTGATGGTAGGAGTTGGAGTTGGAGTGACTGTGGTAGTGGGGGTTGGGCTTGGTGTCTGTGTGGTAGTAGATGTTGAGGTGGAGGTGCTTGGGGAGGGTGTTGGTGTTGTGGTCTCTGTGATAGTAGATGTGGAAGTTGAGGTCTCTGTGGTGGTAGGTGTTGGGGTTGGAGTCACTGTAGTAGAGGGAGTTGGACTAGGTGTCTGTGTGGTGATAGATGTTGAGGTGGAGGTGCTTGGGGAAGGTGTTGGTGTTGTGGTCTGGGTGGTGGTAGATGTTGAGGGTGAGGTCTCTGTGGTGGAAGGTATTGGAGTTGGAGTCACTGTGGTGGTGGGGGTTGTGATTGGTGTCTGTGTGGTAGTAGATGTTTGAGTGGAGGTGCTTGTGTGGGGTGTTGAAGTTGAGGTCTCTGTGGTGGTAGCAGTTGGTGTTGGAGTAACTGTGGTAGTGGGGGTTGTGATTGGTGTCTGTGTGGTAGTAGATGTTGTGGAGGAAGTGCTTGGGGAGGGTGTTGGTGTTGTGGTCTCTGTGGTGCTAGATGTTGAGGTTGAGATTTCTGTGGTGGAAGGTGTTGGAGTTGGAGTAACTGTAGTACTTGGGGTTGGACTAGGTGTCTGTGTGGTAGAAGATGTTGAGGTCTCTGTGGTGGTAGATGTTGGTGTTGGAGTTACTATAGTGGTGGGGGTTGTGATTGGTGTCTGTGTGGTAGTAGATGTTGAGGTGGAGGTGCTTGGGGAGGGTGTTGGTGTTGTGGTCTCTGTGGTGGTAGATGTTGAAGTTGAGATCTCAATGGTGGAAGGTGTTGGAGTTGAAGTAACTGTAGTACTTGGGGTGGGACTAGGTGTCTGTGTGGTAGTAGATGTTGAGGTCTCTGTGGTGGTAGTTGTTGGTGTTGGAGTTACTATGGTGGTGGGGGTTGTGATCGGTGTATGTGTGGTAGTAGATGTTGAGGTGGAGGTGCTTGGGGAGGGTGTTGGTGTTGTGGTCTCTGTGGTGGTAGATGTTGAGGTTGAGATCTCTGTGGTGGAAGGTGTTGGAGTTGGAGTAACTGTAGTACTTGGGGTTGGACTAGGTGTCTGAGTGGTAGTAGATGTTGAGGTGGAGCTGCTGGGGAAGGGTGTTGGTGTTGTGGTCTGTGTAGTTGTAGATGTTGAGGTCTCTGTGGTGGTAGCAGTTGGTGTTGGAGTAACTGTGGTAGTGGGGGTTGTGATTGGTGTCTGTGTGATAGTAGATGTTGAGGTGGAGGTGATTGGGGAGGGTGTTGGTGTTGTGGTCTCTGTGATAGTAGATGTGGAGGTTGAGGTCTCTGTGGTGGTAGGTATTGGAGTTGGAGTCACTGTAGTAGAGGGGGTTGGAGTAGGTGTCTGTGTGGTAGTAGATGTTGAGGTGGAGGTGCTTGGGGAGGGTGTTGGTATTGTGGTCTCTGTGGTGGTAGGTGTTGCCGTTGAAGTCACTGTAGTGGTAACATTTGGTGTTGGAGTTACTATGGTGGTGGGTGTTGTGATTGGTGTCTGTGTGGTAGCAGATGTTGAGGTGAAGGTGCTTGGGGAGGGTGTTGGTGTTGTGGTCTGGGTGGTGGTAGATGTTGAGGGTGAGGTCTCTGTGGTGGAAGGTGTTGGAGTTGGAGTCACTGTGGTACTTGGGGTTGGACTAGGTGTCTGTGTGGTAGTAGATGTGGAAGTTGAGGTCTCTGTGGTGGTAGGCGTTGGGGTTGGAGTCACTGTAGTAGAGGGTGTTGGACTAGGTGTCTGTGTGGTAGTAGATGTTGAGGTAGAGGTGCTTGGGGAGGGTGTTGGTGTTGTGGTCTGTGTAGTGGTAGATGTTGAGGTCTCTGTGTTGGTAGCAGTTGGTGTTGGAGTCACTGTGGTAGTGGGGGTTGTGATTGGTGTCTGTGTGGTAGTAGATGTTGAGGTGGAGGTGCTTGGGGAGGGTGTTGGTGTTGTGGTCTCTGTGATAGTAGATGTGGAATTTGAGGTCTCTGTGGTGGAAGGTATTGGAGTTGGAGTCACTGTGGTACTTGGAGTTGGACTAGGTGTCTGTGTGGTAGTAGATGTTGAGGTGGAGGTGCTTGGGGAGGGTGTTGGTGTTGTGGTCTGTGTAGTGGTAGGTGTTGAGGTCTCTGTGGTGGTAGCAGTTGGTGTTGGAGTCACTGTGGTGGTGGGGGTTGTGATTGGTGTCTGTGTGGTAGTAGATGTTGAGGTGGAGGTGCTTGGGGAGGGTGTTGGTGTTGTGGTCTCTGTGATAGTAGATGTGGAAGTTGAGGTCTCTGTGGTGGTAGGTGTTGGGGTTGGAGTCACTGTAGTAGAGGGAGTTGGACTAGGTGTCTGTGTGGTAGTGGATGTTGAGGTGGAGGTGCTTGGAGAGGGTGTTGGTGTTGTGGTCTGGGTGGTGGTAGATGTTGAGGGTGAGGTCTCTGTGGTGGAAGGTATTGGAGTTGGAGTCACTGTGGTACTTGGATTTGGACTAGGTGTCTGTGTGGTAGTAGATGTTGAGGTGGAGGTGCTTGGGGAGGGTGTTGGTGTTGTGGTCTGTGTAGTGGTAGGTGTTGAGGTCTCTGTGGTGGTAGCAGTTGGTGTTGGAGTCACTGTGGTGGTGGGGGTTGTGATTGGTGTCTGTGTGGTAGTAGATGTTGAGATGGAGGTGCTTGGGGAGGGTGTTGGTGTTGTGGTCTGTGTAGTGGTAGATGTTGAGGTCTCTGTGGTGGTAGGAGTTGGTGTTGGAGTCACTGTGGTAGTGGGGGTTGTGATTGGTGTCTGTGTGGTATGAGATGTTGAGGTGGAGCTGCTTGGGGAGGGTGTTGGTGTTGTGGTTTCTGTGATAGTAGATGTGGAAGTTGAGGTCTCTGTGGTGATAGGTGTTGGGATTGGAGTCACTGTAGTAGAAGGAGTTGGACTAGGTGTCTGTGTGGTGATAGATGTTGAGGTGGAGGTGCTTGGGGAGGGTGTTGGTGTTGTGGTCTGTGTAGTGGTAGGTGTTGAGGTCTCTGTGGTGGTAGCAGTTGGTGTTGGAGTCACTGTGGTGGTGGGTGTTGTGATTGGTGTCTGTGTGGTAGTAGATGTTAAGGTGGAGGTGCTTGGGGAGGGTGTTGGTGCTGTGGTCTCTGTGATAGTAGATGTGGAGGTTGAGGTCTCTGTGGTGGTAGGTGTTGGGGTTGGAGTCACTGTAGTAGAGGGGGTTGGAGTAGGTGTATGTGTGGTAGTAGATGTTGAGGTGGAGGTGCTTGGGGAGGGTGTTGGTGTTGTGGTCTCTGTGGTGGTAGGTGTTGCCGTTGAAGTCACCGTAGTAGTAGCAGTTGGTGTTGGAGTTACTATGGTGGTGGGTGTTGTGATTGGTGTCTGTGTGGTGATAGATGTTGAGGTGGAGGTGCTTGGGAAGGGCGTTGGTGTTGTGGTCTCTGTGGTGGTAGATGTTGATGTTGAAGTCACTGTGGTACTTGGAGTTGGACTTGGTGTCTGTGTGGTGGTGGATGTTGAAGTTGAGGTCTCTGTGGTGGTAGTTGTTGCAGTTGGAGTCACTGTGGTAGTGGGAGTTGTGATTGGTGTCTGTGTGGTGATAGATGTTGAGGTGGAGGTGCTTGGGGAGGGTGTTGGTGCTGTGGTCTGGGTGGTGGTAGATGTTGAGGGTGAGGTCTCTGTGGTGGAAGGTGTTGGAGTTGGAGTCACTGTGGTACTTGGGGTTGGACTTGGTGTCTGTGTAGTGGTAGATGTTGAGGTGGAGGTACTTGGGGAGGGTGTTGGTGTTGTGGTTTGTGTGGTGGTAGATGTTGAGGTTGAAGTTTCTGTGGTGGTAGCTGTTGGGGTTGGAGTCATTGTGGTATTTGGTGTTGGTCTAGGTGTCTGGGTGGTGGTAGATGTTGATGTTGATGTCTCTGTGGTGGAAGGTGTTGGAGTTGGAGTCACTGTGGTACTTGGGGTTGGACTTGGTGTCTGTGTGGTAGTAGATGTTGAGGTGGAGGTGCTTGGGGAGGGTGTTGGTGTTGTGGTCTCTGTGATAGTAGATGTGGAAATTGAGGTCTCTGTGGTGGTAGGTGTTGGGGTTGGAGTCACTGTAGTAGAGGGAGTTGGACTAGGTGTCTGTGTGGTGATAGATGTTGAGGTGGAGGTGCTTGGGGAGGGTGTTGGTGTTGTGGTCTGTGTAGTGGTAGGTGTTGAGGTCTCTGTGGTGGTAGCAGTTGGTGTTGGAGTCACTGTGGTGGTAGGGGTTGTGATTGGTGTCTGTGTGGTAGTAGATGCTGAGGTGGAGGTGATTGGGGAGGGTGTTGGTGTTGTGGTCTCTGTGATAGTAGATGTGGAGGTTGAGGTCTCTGTGATGGTAGGTGTTGGGGTTGGAGTCACTGTAGTAGAGGGGGTTGGAGTAGGTGTATGTGTGGTAGTAGATGTTGAGGTGGAGGTGCTTGGGGAGGGTGTTGGTGTTGTGGTCTCTGTGGTGGTAGGTGTTGCCATTGAAGTCACCGTAGTGGTAGCAGTTGGTGTTGGAGTTACTATGGTGGTGGGGGTTTTGATTGATGTCTGTGTGGTAGTAGATGTTGAGGTGGAGGTGCTTGGGGAGGGCGTTGGTGTTGTGGTCTCTGTGGTGGTAGATGTTGATGTTGAAGTCACTGTGGTACTTGGAGTTGGACTTGGTGTCTGTGTGGTGGTGGATGTTGAGGTTGAGGTCTCTGTGGTGGTAGTTGTTGCAGTTGGAGTCACTGTGGTAGTGGGAGTTGTGATTGGTGTCTGTGTGGTGATAGATGTTGAGGTGGAAGTGCTTGGGGAGGGTGTTGGTGTTGTGGTCTGGGTGGTGGTAGATGTTGAGGGTGAGGTCTCTGTGGTGGAAGGTGTTGGAGTTGGAGTCACTGTGGTACTTGGGGTTGGACTTGATGTCTGTGTGGTAGTAGATGTTGAGGTGGAGGTGCTTGGGGAGGGTGTTGGTGTTGTGGTCTCTGTGATAGTAGATGTGGAAGTTGAGGTCTCTGTGGTGATAGGTGTTGGGATTGGAGTCACTGTAGTAGAGGGAGATGGACTAGGTGTCTGTGTGGTGATAGATGTTGAGGTGGAGGTGCTTGGGGAGGGTGTTGGTGTTGTGGTCTGTGTAGTGGTAGGTGTTGAGGTCTCTGTGGTGGTAGCAGTTGGTGTTGGAGTCACTGTGGTGGTGGGTGTTGTGATTGGTGTCTGTGTGGTAGTAGATGTTGAGGTGGAGGTGCTTGGGGAGGGTGTTGGTGTTGTGGTCTCTGTGATAGTAGATGTGGAGGTTGAGGTCTCTGTGGTGGTAGGTGTTGGGGTTGGAGTCACTGTAGTAGAGGGGGTTGGAGTAGGTGTATGTGTGGTAGTAGATGTTGAGGTGGAGGTGCTTGGGGAGGGTGTTGGTGTTGTGGTCTGTGTAGTGGTAGGTGTTGAAGTCACTGTAGTGGTAGCAGTTGGTGTTGGAGTTACTATGGTGGTGGGGGTTGTGATTGGTGTCTGTGTGGTGATAGATGTTGAGGTGGAGGTGCTTGGAGAGGGTGTTGGTGCTGTGGTCTGGGTGGTGGTAGATGTTGAGGGTGAGGTCTCTGTGGTGGAAGGTGTTGGAGTTGGAGTCACTGTGGTACTTGGGGTTGGACTTGGTGTCTGTGTGGTAGTAGATGTTGAGGTGGAGGTGCTTGGGGAGGGTGTTGGTGTTGTGGTCTGGGTGGTGGTAGATGTTGAGGGTGAGGTCTCTGTGGTGGAAGGTGTTGGAGTTGGAGTCACTGTGGTACTTGGGGTTGGACTTGGTGTCTGTGTGGTGATAGATGTTGAGGTGGAGGTGCTTGGGGAGGGTGTTGGTGTTGTGGTCTGTGTGGTGGTAGATGTTTGGGTGGAGGTGCTTGTGTGGGGTGTTGAAGTTGAGGTCTCTGTGGTGGTAGCAGTTGGTGTTGGAGTCACTGTGGTGATGGGGGTTGTGATTGGTGTCTGTGTGGTAGTAGATGTTGAGGTTGAGATCTCTGTGGTGGAAGGTGTTGGAGTTGGAGTCACTGTAGTACTTGGGATTGGACTAGGTGTCTGTGTGGTAGTAGATGTTGAGGTGGAGCTGCTTGGGGAGGGAGTTGGTGTTGTGGTGTCTGTGATAGTAGATGTGGAAGTTGAGGTCTCTGTGGGTGTAGGTGTTGGGGTTGGAGTCATTGTAGTAGTTGGCTTTGGACTAGGTGTCTGCGTGGTGATAGATGTTGAGGTGGAGGTGCTTGGGGAGGGTGTTGGTGTTGTGGTCTGTGTAGTGGTAGATGTTGAGGTCTCTGTGGTGGTAGTTGTTGCAGTTGGAGTCACTGTGGTGGTGGTGGGGGTTGTGATTGGTGTCTGTGTGGTAGTAGATGTTGAGGTGGAGGTGCTTGGGGAGGGTGTTGGTGTTGTGGTCTCTGTGGTGATAGATGTTGATGTTGAGGTGCTTGTATAGGGTGTTGGTGTTGTGGTTTGTGTGGTAGTAGATGTTGGAATTGAGGTACTTGTGTGGGGTATTGGTGTTGTGGTCTGTGTGGTAGTTGTTGCAGTTGAGGTCTCTGTGGTGGTTGAAGGTGTGGTTGGAGTCACCGTGCTTGTAGATGTTGGGATAGAAGTCACTCTAGTGGTGGTTGAAGTTTGTGTGGTTGTTGTACATTCTATACTACAGCACTGAACATTGATCTCATAGTTGAGACACACAGGCATTGGTATGAACCCTCCTATTTCCTGTTCTGCATTTCTGCACACTAGCCCAACCTTTTTGTCACAAATCACTTTCTGTCCTAGCTGATCAAGTGGTTTGTTGGAATACATCACAGCTCTGCAGGAGATGTTTTCTACTCTCCAGCCTGGTTCACAGGCTTCTCCAATCAGTTCAAAATCTCCACTGTCTATATCATGGGTGGGCTTGCCAGAATCCTTCCAGCCTGTCCACTTACAATCTTCAATGCATGTAGTGGGCTCTCGTGTGGTGGTGGATGTAGTAGGCAAGATTGATGTAATGGTGCTTGGTGATGTGGTGGTTGAGGTTCCTGGTGAAGTGGTTGGTGAAGTTGTTACAGAGGGGTTTGGTGAACTGCTAGGAGAGGTGGTTGATGAAGATGGTTGTGAAGTGGTAAATGAAGTCATCAGTGTAGTGGTAGATGAGATGGTTGGTGTAGTGGTTGGGGAAGTGGTTGATGAAATGATTGATGTAGTGGTCGGCAAGTTTGTTGGTGACATGGAAGTTGAGGTACTTGGTGAAACTGTTGAAGTGATAGGTGAGGTTGTTGGTGAAGTAATAGATGAAGTCAGTGGGGAAGTTGTAGGTGAGGTGGTTGGGGAAGAGGTAGATAGAGTTGGTGAAGTTGCAGGTGAGGTGGTTGGAGTAGTACAGTGCTCCTCTGAATAGCAACAGTAGACTCGTATCTCATAGTCATAACAACGTCCAAATACTTCGTCTCCATTTCCATACTGGTCTTCATTATGGCAAACGAACCCAACTGAGACATTACACTGTACCTTCTGGCCCAGCTCCTCCAAGCTGAGTTTGGGCTCTGTGGCTGACCTGCACTCAATGTCCTCAGGAGCACTACAGACACTGTCGAAGGTCTCTCGTTCACCACCATCACTGCTATCGCTAGGACTGTTGTTGTTGATCCAGTCAGACCAGTAGCAGCATGATACTAGGGAAGCAAAATTACATATAAGCCATTCATGCTTGAGAGGGGCTAAGGTGATTGAGTCCTCAGTGACCTCCTCAGCCGCCCCACAGATACACTTGCCCACCCCATCATCACTAATGGACCATGTTTATAGGGTCAGAGATCAGAATAGACCCATTTCCACCTTTTTGCAGCTGAAAGACTGTGGCCCAAAGAGAAGGTGCCACTTAAGGCCATGTTTAGGTGGGACACAAACTGGTCTTAGAGTCCCAGCTCAGTACTCCTTCCTTGGCAATGTTGTGAGAGAGAGAGAAAAAAGACTAACAAGGGAGCCATCCCTAAGCAAGAATGTGAAAGGGGCTTTGTCTATTCCTGACCAAGAACACAGTCATCCACACAGGCCAGGGCCCACCTCTGTGTTCATGGACTTGTCAAACAGTGAGCAAATCCACCTGTGATCCACAGGCAGGTAAGTGCAGCCTGCCCTCACGTCTGCTTCTGAAGGAAGCCCAGGAGGGATTTGGAAAGATTTTCTCTTCTTGGCCCTACCTATCATGGAAAAGTATTGTAATGTCACTTACTAAGAGTTGTTGGTGGAACTTAAATCAAGGAAAAAAGGAGAATATCACTGCACAATTTAAGTCTTTTTTTTTTTAAAATCATGGTCTTGCTATATACATCTCTAGCCAGCCTGGAACTCTTGACATAGACCATAGGCCTCAAACTTATGGCAATCATCCTGCTTCTGTCTCCCAGATGCTGGTTGTAAGTGTGCATCACCATGCTTAGCCTGCATTGTATGTGTGTGTGAACATCTGTGTGTGTGCACGTTTGTGTGTGTACATGTGTTTGCAGATGTGCATGAACATGTGTATATGTGAATGCAGAGACCAGAGGACAATCTCCAGTGTCATCCTCAAGAATGTCATCTACCAGCCAGGCGGTGGTGGCGCACGCCTTTAATCCCAGCACTCGGGAGGCAGAGCCAGGCGGATCTCTGTGAGTTCGAGGCCAGCCTGGGCTACCAAGTGAGTTCCAGGAAAAGGCTCAAAGCTACACAGAGAAACCCTGTCTCGAAAAACCAAAAAAAAAAAAAAGAATGTCATCTACTTCCTTTCAGACAAGGTCTCCCATTGGCCTGGAACTTGGCAATTAAGTTATACTGGCTTGCCAGTGAGTCCCAAGAATCCTGCTGTCCCCATGTCCCCAACAATGGAATTACAATGTGCACCCCCATGTCTGACATTTTTACAAGGGCTCTGGGGATCAAATCCATGTCCCCATGTTTGTGAAGCAAGTGTTTTGTCAACTGAGCCCCAAGTCCCCAAAATTACAGGTGTTCTCTCTTGTGTCTGTCATACCCCTGACAGCTCACACATCACAGATATGGTGTGAACTGAACAAATGCAGAGCAATGTAAGGACATCCTCCAACGTCCTGAGTTCAGAGAAATGTTAGTGCCACCTAAGTTCCCAGTTTGTTTGCTGAATGGAGGCTGAATACACAGACTTGGCTCTGGCTCCCAGAAGAAGAACCCATGCTGGATTCTCAAGAAAACAAAAATCCCCAGAATAAGCCTCACCATTAGTAGTGGTCATCGTGACTGTGGTAGTGGCAGTGGCAGTACTGGCGGTGGCCGTGGGGGTACTGGCGGTGGCCGTGGCAGTACTGGCGGTGGCAGTGACAGTAGTGGCAGTGATGGTGGTTGTGGTGGTGGTGGTGGAGATGGGGGTAGGGGTGGAGATTGTGGTGAAGCTTGTCAGGGTGGATGGGGGTGGCGTGGAGGAGGCACAAATATTGAAGTGTTTCTCCACTGTCCCATTGGAGCCGCAGAACTCCCAGTAGCAGAAGATACCATCCTGGGTCTGGTTAAGAATCTTCCCTGCACAGAGGGTATGGGACCATTAAATCAACAAGAAAGACAGACTTTCAAGGCTTCCCCAATTTATCACAGGTGAGGGAAGACTGGGATACATTCCAGCAAGACTGCATCCCCAGAACCTCTCGATTTGAAGGAGCCTCATTGAAACCCAGAGGCGATGAGCCCAGAACCCAGATGAGAGATGCACTAGAAATTCCCCATAGGGTACCACTCCCATTGGGGAAAGGAAACAAAGATGTGTAGTGTGGGCCCCTCAGGCTTGCTGCACAGCTCAGCTAGTTGAAGCTTGAAAGGACCTGGGCAACCAAGACACAGAGCCCAGGAGGAAACCAATCCCTACCCAAGGCCAGGTCCCATGTACAAGAAGAGCACAGCCCACAGGCTTCCTGGGTTGGGACCTCGAACCCTCCACCTCCATGACCCCAGCAGAGGGCAGCTTACCTTCATCTGGATGGCAGATGATTTCTGAGGTGTTGGTGCATATACTGCAAAGCAAGTATAGATGCTATAGGTCCCCCCATACTTCCCTGCTCACGGACACCACATGCCTATCTCCCTGTGCTCTGACCCAAAGCCCCAGAGTACCTCCCCAAACACAAGCTACAAAGAAACCCCACCCATTAGGTTCTAAATACGGCCAGCCAGATGTGGTGAAGCAAGCTAAGAAAAAGCTGGGCCAAGAGGATGGGGCGAGATCAAAAGGCCTCCATACCCCTAAGGACAGGAACTAGCACCTCTGTATCCTAGCTCCTATGATATGTGTCCAAGTGTGAATGGGTGTGCAACTGGGTGTGGCTGTGTCCATGTATGTATGCTCATTGAATGGGCTGTGCACGCATGTGAGTGTGGCTATGAGCCATATATGCATGCTTGCATGTACATATGTACCTGACCGGAGTGACCACATTTCCCATTTCCATGTGTCTGAACATGCTCTGTGTGTGTGTGTGTGTGTGTGTGTGTGTGTGTGTGTGTGTGTGTGCCAACCTTTCCCAGACCCTGTGCAATGTAGGCTCAGTACCAAGACTTGCAGATCTCCTTAGTGGGAACAGATGCATTGGGCAGGTAGCGAGTGTCCTCAATATAGCAGCCACACTTGTCCTCAGTCACACATCTCTTCAGGTCCTCATCATAGATGGGCCTGTCCTTAGGGCACCGAGGGTAGCAACCTAGTGGGTATAGGAAATGGGCTCAGACCACCACAGAGGACCCCCTGCTCCGCCAGACCTTCCTCATCAGCCCCACCCCATGTGGTGTTTTGCTTGGAGATGTTCATCTATGAAGACCAAGAGTCAGAAGACAGGGTTTGTGTCTCCCCTGCCACTAGGGTGTTCTGCTCCGTGGTTCCCACCCATGAGTTAGCGTGCTCCTCTGCCACCTCTTCAGGAGTCAGGGTCTTAGCTGGGGTCTATGGCCCCAGTTCAGTGAACAGACTGAAGTGAAATGAACCTTGTTCCCAAGCCTCTTAGCCCTTGGGCACCTCTCAAACATCCCCATGTGTCTCCAGCTAATGGTAACCCTCAGCCCGACAGGGGCCTACCCCTTGGCGGCTCCCTCCCTGAAGGGCCCTGCCGGCTCACCCTCCAGGTAGGACACAGAGATGTTGGAGTGGATGCCATTGATGGTCCTACAGGTCTCAAAGGTGCGGTTCCCACATGGTTCGTAGTGCCATTCACACTCATCTGGGGGGTTGTAGTAATCACAGAATACGGCTAGAGGGAGAGAGGATGGGGACACGGTCAGGCTTGGGAGCATCCAAGTGGGTACCCAAGTGAGCCAGCATCAGGGGATGTGAGCAAGAACAGGTCCAGTCAGCTCCTACCAACACAAGTCTCACTATGTCCCAAGAAAGGATGCCTGGGGACAAGTATGGGATGAGTGACATTCAGTCATCACTTGGGAGGGGAAGGAAGATGCTGCCTGCCATGGGTACTCACGGCACAGGTCCGGCGTCCTCCAGAACACACAGGCCTCTGCCTTGGTGCACTCCTGAGCGTAGGAGGCCACAGCAGAACAGAAACACTCACAGTCACCTCCCGTGTCACAGGAGCAGGAGTCATGCACACAGGCCTCATAGAAGACCGTGGGGTCCACCTAGGAAGAAGACTTCAATGTGCCTAGGCCCGCACTGCCCTTAGAGAGCCTGGAACGCAGGACACTGAAGCTGGCCCAGGGCCCCAGAGTAGCTGATGGAGGGAGGGCACTCACCTTCAGGCCACCCTGGCCAACAGATCTGTCACCTATCCCCTGAATGCCTCAAGATGAAAACTAAAACTGGCCCTCCCCCTGCTATCTTCTAGGCACTAACAAAATAAGTCATTTCTCTCCCTCCCTGATGAGCATGTAGTCAGGGCAAAGGAGGTCAGAGTCTACCCAGGAATCGCAGAGAGAAAAGTTGATCATCTAATTACTGACTTCTTACCAAGTGTACAGAATTGAAGAACAAATGCCCCATGGTGGTAGAGCAACGTACCTCCAAGTATCCTAAGCCTACATTGACAGGCCAGGAGCCCGAAAAACAAATACAGCAAGACTAATAGGCCACACCCCTCTCATGGCCACAGTCATGCTCACCAATCTCTTTCAGTGGCCCCAACCGTGGCCCTGACCACAACCACAACACACTTACAGTGGGACTCTGCCTGCAGAGCCCTTTGTCCATGCCCACAGTCCGCACATGTCTGTCCCCCTGCCCACACTTGTTTGTACATGCCCAAGGTCCACCCCTACCTGTGCCCCTGCTCACCCTTGTGGCCCTCCCGTGCCTGCAGCCATCCTACCTTGCTGTGACACCCTTTGAATACACCACTCTTGATAATGCTACACTGCTTCTCTGCCCAGGAGCGACGATGTGGGTTCAGGCTGCAAGGGTCTGGAGTGTGGGTCACATCTGGGCACGTGGAAGCTTCCTTCCAACTATTCCCAAAGTCCAGCTCACTGGTCACCACCATGTGGTCCCGAGTGGTGAAGTCATTTTTGGTCTGGTCATCAAAGTTCCCACACAGACCACATACAGTGCCCTGCAGGAGGAAAGACACGTGTCTCCAGCTTGAGAAGTTCTTGAGGTAGGTGAGAGCAACATCCACAGGGTCTATGTTAGGGGTAGCTCAGGACATGGCTGGCATCTTGGTGGCCCACCTTGTAAGAAGGGGCCAGTTTGATGAAGATGGTGGTCCTCTTGTCCCAGATAACGATAATGCCAGAGCTGGCCTCCACCACCAGGTACAGGCCCACTTCCCGTGTGATGAAGGGCACATGGTGCCCCTCCTCCAACTGCTTTATGACGCGATGTTTATCCACCAACTTCAGCTCCGTTCCCTATCCAAAGAAAAGGATGGTCACTGACTGTGTCCAAGGGTTCCCAAGAGATCTCTTGTCCCAGGAAGCAGCAGTACTCACCCCTATAAAGATCTTTATGGCCTTGGAGCAGGTAACACCTGTGGTGCCGCAGGGGACATTCTCCGTGATAATGCTGAAGGAGCCAGTAGAGTTCTGGCCACAGTAGTCCTGGGTCCAAAAAGACAGTGTCAGCCATGCAGCTAGGACACAGGTGCCTACCCCAGCTGGCAAGGCTAGAGCCACCCTTCTGAGTAGAAAAAGCTCTGCCTTTCCCCATCTGGGAAAAGGCCCTAACTCAAATCTCACGCAGCCAGATCTTCTGTTGTCTGGGAATAATAATGCCATACAAATGGGGGCTGGAGAGATGGCTCAGAAGTTAAGAGAACTGACTGCTCTTCCAGAGGTCCTGAGTTCAACTCCTAGCAACCACACAGTGGCTCACAGCCATCTGTAAAGAGATCTGGTGCCCTCTTCTGGCCTGCAGTCATACATGCTGTATATATAATAAATAAATCTTTTTTAAAAAGGCACGGGGATAGTAGCTGGGCCTGTCTATACACACACACACACACACACACACACACACACACACACACACACAGAGAGAGAGACACAGACAGACAGACAGAGACAGACAGACAGACAGAGAGGAGAGACAGAGAGTGCAGGCTTTCCCAACACCCCCCATCCCCATGCATGGGTAGGGCACTGGAGGGAGGAGAGGGGTTTACCACATCCTCTCTATTCATTGCTGGGAGCCCAAATCCTGGCAGTATGGGTTCCAGGGTGAGGAAGGGTTAGCCCTTCCCACCTCAAGGACCCTCTTCCATCTCTCAGGGCAGGCCCCTTCCTGGAGAGGTTCACAGTCACACCTGGACAGCCACATAGGAGCAGTGTCCATCAAAGTCATAGTGCTTTCCATCGAAGGTGATGTAGTGGCCGCTGCCATAGATAGAGCAGGTGCTGTGGCATGCATACCGGGTGCACTCCCAGCGTCCTTTCTGGCAAGTACTGCGGAGAAAGGTAGAGGAGCCTGATGAGGCCTGAGGCCAAGACTCCCACCTGCCCTCAGAGAGCAGCCGAGGTAAGGCCCTGGACACCATGGCAATAGCTCCTGAGGCAGCCCATAGAGGAAATCTACAAGCACCTACACTGGCCTAAAAGTGACCTCTAGGGCAAAGGGCAGACACAAGACTTGCTCTGTCAACGGAGTGGGGACCTTCTTGCATCCCCACAAAACCAGCCCAGCCTCTCTAATGCAGCCTGACTGGGCCAGCTCACCAGGTGTTGTTACAGTCCAGCTTGATGCTAGCCCCAGGGTTGTATAGGTCTTTGTTATGGATGCAAGGACACTCCTCCTCCTTCACACAGCCACCACGGCCATCATCCAGCAGCCCATCGGGACACACACAGCCACTGATGCACTCTGTATGGTACTGGAATAAGAAGAAGGGCTCAGATGAGGCCCAAGCCCTCCTTTGAGGGGTCAAGTGCCCACACGAGAAGATCTAACAGTGTCCTGGACCCCCAACTTCTTCTCTTCTCTCCTAAAACCCCTCCCTTCAAGCTCATCCTGGTCAGGGAGACCAGGTAGGGTTGCTGATCAAGGCCCCTAGACTGACTTCCGCATTGCCATAGGCTGCCACTTCTCTTCCAGGGTCACAGGGAGTATCCACAGACCCAGGTGTTTATAAGACTCGGCCCCCAGCCCAATGAACTGGCAGCGTGGGAGTCTGCCCTAGTCCACACAGTGGACTCAGGCATCCGGCATGCCCCCAACCAGCCCACCCACAGCAGCCCTCCCCGGCACTCACATAACCAGCCACCAGTGTCTGGCAGCTGGTGGGGCGGGGATTCCGGGTGGCCAGAGCAGTCACATTGTTGCAATCCACAAGGATTTTGGGCGCCTCACAGCCTGTGGGGTCAAGAAGCCTGTCTTAGCTCAAGATGAATTCAGGGTACCAGGTAAGAAGGGAGGGGAAACAAGACTCCAACGACCGGTGGCCATACATGAGCAGCATCCGTAAAACTTACTGTGGCCAATCAGTTTGACCTGGGTGCATTGCAGCCTCCCGTTCCGGCAAATGCTATGAGAGAGAAGTGGGACAGGATGATTAGGGTCCAGGTCTGTCCCCACACAGGACATATGCCAGCCAGGCCACTCTCAGAATCTCACCCCTGGCACCTCTGCGCCATTTGAGAGCCTCAGGAGGTCCCACTTAGAGTCTCTCATTTTTGCACTTGGGGTAGAGATTCAAGAGCAGCCCCTCCCCCCTCTCTCTGGGCCCCTTGCTGAGTCCAGGGCACTCACCAACGCTCCTCTTGCCTCAGGATCACATCTCCTGCCTCCAGGTAAAGACCGTGGTGATAGCAGGAACACTTAGCCAAGGGCACACAGCGGCCCTTCTCATCCATGAAGGTATGGTCAGGGCAGCCACAACCTTCCACAGGTGCAAATCCCTTGAGGCAGTGGGTGTCACCCTCTGAGAGTGAGCGGCAGGTCTGCTGGCAAGTGGTCAGGTTGTACAGGAAGATCTGTGAGCTGGGGCAAGCATGCACGTCTTTGTCTGCGGAGGAAACCACAGGAGTGAGGGGCAATGGCACTGGACTCCAACTACTGTCCCTATAGGCTGTCCCTGAGCTTCTCCCTCCACCAGGACTACAGATAGAGGGCAGCCACCCTGGGAACCCCTCCCAGGCTCCTGAACTCAGCTGCCACAGCTGTGGCCATCCCATAGCCCATCTCTGCAGAATTCTGCTCCACGCTGCAGGCAGAGCCTAAAAGGTCAGGTAAATCTGCTGCTTCTGGCAGACACTGGGAGGCAGCTACAAGGAGCTGGCCCCTCTCCCTGGACTGACTGTTCTCAGGGCTCCCAGCCCCAGCCCGTGGAGTTCTGTGGCTGGACCGCCATCCTAGGAAGCAGCCAGTGGAGAAGTACTCACTGCAGACGCGCTCGCGCCAGCCCCACAGCATGACACCCTTGGCAGCACAGGCACGGGCGTAGGAAGACAGAGCCGCACACATGCAGTCCTCGTTGTTCTGACAGTTGCACGTGTCATATTTGCACCTCTAGAAGGCAAACAAAGGACCAGTGAGGTGAGGAGGCCAGGCGCATGGCCCCATCACCCTGTGCACTCAAGTGAACACACGCGTGCGTACATGCCACCACTCAGGCACACACGCATACCCAGCCACTCCTAGGCCCAGCCAGGTGGCCCGAGCACACTTTGCTGGCTCCGGGGATGCTGCATGCAGCATTGAGTATGTAAGGTTGGGGGATGAACTCACCTTGTAGTATTCAGTGGGATCCACAGCCAAGTGGCACCTGGCAAAAGGCGTCTCCGACCTCTTCAGCAGGGAACACCAGTGTTCAGCATAATTGGCTGGGGAGTGGGTCAGAACCTTAGCATGGCCAGGCTCCCTTCACATACCCTGAGCCTAAAATCTGATCACCCAGGATGGATGATCACACAGCCTCCTGTGTGACCAAAGCCAGGTCCCTTCCTCCCTCCCGTCGTAAGTCCAGGCTGCTATGAGCAAAATGAGACCTTTTTACATAACACCCACCACCTCCCTTTCTCAACCCCATGGGGCTAGAAATCTTTCAATATGATTGAGAAGTGGGTAGGAGGGCTTGTCATCCTAGCATTAGGCCAGGCCTGGATGACAGCCACCACCCAGCAGGTAGACTGACCAGCCCATCTACTTTGTCATTTGGAAAGCTGCCACCATGGGGCCACTATAAACTAGCCAAACAGCAGGTGGATGTGCAGGTCCTCAGCACCATGGGACCTCCACCCACCCCTCTACCCACATACTATGTCCTCATCAGAAGTCCCATCTGCTCTGAGGCGGTACTGGCCAGAACTGTGTGTCCTAGACAAACCAGTGGCCAGCGGCCAGCTTCCCCTGAGCCTCACCGCTCTCAATGTTGAGGGAACAGGGGTCATCTAGCCAGTCTAGCTTGTCATGGCAGCTTGATTGGGCCTTCCAGGTGTTGGCGAAGCCGGCACCCGTGGCCTCCACCAGCCCACCAGACGTCATGAAGTCATCACTTTCCAGGCCGTTGAAGTTCCCACAGAGACCTAAAGGGCCAGGACAGGATTAGGAAGGATTGGGGGGGTCTGGGGGGCAGCAGGATCCTCATGGGGCTTTTTCAGGGACAAGACAGAAGGGACCACTCACCCTGCACCTGTCCCTGGGCAGCCTGGTCCAGAGTCACAAAAAGCTGCATGACTGGGACCAGCTGAACCTGCAGCCGCAGCCCGAACACCGTGTTCACAACAATGTGGTAGGAGGAGGGTTGGAAGATGGAGAAGCTCGCTGCAAAACAAGACCACAGTGAAAGGCAGCAGGGCTCCTGGGTTCCACCTCACTGTTGGGTGGCATGCCCACCATCCCATCCCCCTACCACCAGCAGGGACCCAAGGATAGGGCCTGCCGGAGGCTCACTCCTAGGCTGTCCAAATCCCAGCTGGCTCTGTTGCCCCGCAGCAGTTCAGGACCCCTCCCTAAGCCACTCACCTGCCACATGGGGCAGGGTCACCTCCAGCTCATTGAGTAACACGCTGCCACCTGATTTGAAGGCCACCACCTGCAAGAAATGTCACGGGTGCATAGAGTTGAGAGTGCCTGCGTGCAGGACCCAGGCATGCTGGGAAGGGAGAGAGGACTCACGTTCTTCTTGTTGTCAGTCAGCAGTACCACAGTCTTCAGGCAGGTCTGCTTGTCTGTAGAGCCGCAGGGGGCCAGCTCACCCAGGAGGGCATAGGAGTCATTGTGGCTGCCCTGAATGGGGAAGGGTGGTACAATCACTGAGGATCCGACAGCCTCCTGCAGCCTCGACCCACTACTTTCCATCCTGTTTCTAAGAGTAGCACCACCCACCACCCCAGGGACAGCCTTCTCCAGAACCTGTCTTTCCTCCTTCCCCAGAAGATAGAGGGCCCCCAGCTCCATCCAGGTAGACTGGCCTGCCTACCTTGGTCAGGACATAGTAGCAGTCCCCGTGAAAGGTAAACTTTTTTCCATCAAAGGTGGTGATGTGGGAGCCACCTTCCAGGGCACAGGTCTCAGGGCAAGGCAGGTCTTCACACACCCAGCGACCAGCATTGCAGACACTGCCGGGAAGCAGGGCCACAAGGTCAAGACTCAGTGACACTCCGGCCTGTCTGACCCCCAAGCTCTATGCTCTGAGACTTACCACTGCTCACAGTCATTGGTAATCTCCTGGCCTGGCATATAGAGGTGCCCATGCAGCTTGCAGTGGCACTGGCTCACAGGGACACAGCCACTGCCCGTGATGTCATCATATACAGTGCCTGTGGTAGCCAGAGATGTAAACTTACCCTGGAAGCCTTAGGAAGTTAGGAAGTGCCAATTTCCCCCAAGGAGAGGCTGCCAGCCAAACCTCCACCCACAGACATCAGGACCCCTGCTCTGTCAATGGAGACGTTCATCTCCCAGCCCTTAGGGTTCTTGGGAGGGTCCCACCCCTCCCTGCCTGCTCCCCACCCAGTGTCCAGGACAAGGATCTTCCATAGCATGTACCTTCTGGGCAGAAACAGCCATCCATGTAGTGTTCCTCACACAAGCTGCTGACCTCCAGATGTGAGCAGGTATCCACGCAGGGAGAGCTGCTCTCCAAGTACACCATGTTACCAGGGCACTTCTTGGCTAGAAGCAAAGTCAGCTCCATCAATCCACAAATAAGGAGCTAACAGAGAGTCAAGGCCACTGGCAGATAGTGCCTGGGTGTTTGGCACAGACACAGCTCCCACGGGGTCTCCTTAAACCCAGGGACACGAACACTGAGCACCATGTGAGAGGCCCCCAGGCACCGCAGGGGTCGCCAGCTACTTACGGCAGAGTGAGGCAGTCCTCCAGTTCTCAGGTCGGCCACCTGCGTGGGAGCACTGGCGGGAGAACTCAGCAAGGGTGCTGCACTCGCAGGCACCACCCTGAGGACACCGGCAGCGGTCCTGCATGCAGGCGCGCACATACAACTCCACGGGCACCCGGGCCTGGCAGTCCTCGAAGGCTGTGGAGGTCAGCAGCCTCTCACACTCAGCTCGCTGAAGAGAAGGACATGGACACGAACAGCTTCACACCCCTGTTCACACCCCTTCTTCCCTCCCCTTAGAGCCTAGGGATTCCCAACAAAGGCCAGCAAGTACAGGTTTCCTGAGAGCCTGGGGTCCCCCCGCAGTGACTCACATGCTCAGAGCAGGACTCTGGCTCTTGCACCACCGCGGGGTCCTCACATTCAACCTCAGGCTTGTTGATCTTCTGCATGTTCCCAAACTCAATGGCACTGTATTGTATGCCTAGGAATGCAGCTGGTCAGCAGTGGTCCTCGGGAGCCAGGAGCCTGCAGCCCCACCCCTGTCTTCCTCTCAACAAGCCCAGCTTACCACTCACCTTCACTGAGGAACTCATTATAGGTTTGCATGCCATTGAAGTCCCCACAGAGGCCACAGGTGTGGTTCTGGAACCGGCTGTCCAGCTCTAGCTGTTGAGAGGGAAGGGGGGGCAGGTGAGCAGACCTCAGGACCCAGCACAGCTTCCAGAGCCCCTAGGTCTAGGCAGTTTCTCCAAGAACGCAGGACAGGAGGAGGGCAGGAATCATCCACCAGGAAGAGTCCTTCAGGGTGGGGTGCCAAAATGCAGTTTCTGGGAGACAGACCATTTACTGCCCTATAGCACAGAGAGCCCCTTCCAGGCCAGACCAATGGAGACTCTAGTACCAATCACTGTCTCCAGCAGCCTTCTCTACCACAAAGGATCCTACTCCAATTGTGAGGTGTGGATCCCCCAATCCTGCCCTTCTTTGGATCCACCAGGTCTTTGGCCAGATAAAGGAGCCCCACCACCTCAGAACCCAGGATGCTGGTGCCCACCATGAGTGCATCTTCCCGGTTCCACATGAGGGAGAGGCCAGCACGGGAGTAGATCTTGGTGTAGGCATCATTCTTCTCAATGAGGAGCCCGGAGCTGTAGTGCGGGGTGCTGACCCTGTGGGGACCACTATGGGGTCACTCACCAACCCAGCATCTCAGAACCCACCCACTTGTCTTCCTGAGGGTTCTGCTGTCCACATGGTGCTGAGGGCATTATCTGGGTGAAGACAGCCCCAGCCTGGCTCCTTACTTGGTCAGTATGTTCTCATCTGGGGTCGCAAACAGACTTAGGCAAGCTCCAGGAGGAGGCCAGAGAGCTGGGCAGAGAGCCCTTGTCCTGGGCTAGGTGGATTTCCTTGGAGCAGGGCCAGCCCCTTCTGTCTATTTTCCTTCCCACACCCTCTTGAGTCCAGGACAGAGGCCCTTCTCAGGAGCCCTAAAGGCAGTGGGTCTGGGATATGTTGGGGACTGAGTCCCCAACCCTCTCCAGGCCCTTTGTTCAGAGGTATTTGCTCATAAAATCTGCCAGGGTGGGACACTCAACCTCTGCCCAGACCATGACCCAGAGCTGTCCTTATACAAGGACCCCATCCCACTCCTGTACTGGCCTGGAACTGCCACACCTCAGCCCCTGAGCCTCTATCCCTAGGGACCTCTGCCATACCCAACCCACTCATGACAGCATGGTCCAGCAGACCAGGCAAGGGAAGGGAACACTGGGAGAGCCCCATGCAGGACACAGACACCCCTGGAACAGGAAAAGAGCAAATCCCCAGTGGGGTGAACCTGCAAGACAGGAATGCATTTAAGAGGGCGGCATTGTTACTGAGACAATGCCAGAAAACAATGGGGCTGGGCGAGCAGCCTCTCCCTTCTGAGCTTCTGCAACCTTAGCCTGGGGGACAAGCTCTGGCAGCCACTGTTCTTCTATCCCACATGGCCCTCCGGGGGAAGTCTGCAAGGGACTCACATGTTACCTAAGACCCCTGGTCTACAGCGGGGACTCATCAGTGTTTGTTGAGTGAATCCATGGCCTAGCTCAAACCTCAAAGCACTCCTATTAGCCCTGTGCCAGAGCAGGAGAGGGTATCCTGGAGGCTGGCTAGTTTATACAAAATGTTCAGGGGCAAACTTGCTCTGAGGAGCCAGAAGCCTCCCCCTGGCTGCTGGGACATGGGAGGCAGATATTAATCCGACTCACATGGCCCCATTCACCACTGCCAGCTTGTGGGTGAGGTAGATGGTGTCGTCCTTAATGGTAATTAGGATGGACTCTACCCGGGGGTGACCCCCAGCCTGGTCCAAGCCCCGCTTCAGGTGCACAGCAAATTCCTTGTAGGAGTCTCGACAGTCAGAAGCAAAGTTGTAATCACAGAGGCCAGGGAATCGAAAGACATCACCGTCAAAGGTTTTGTAGTGGAAGTCGCCCCAGGTGCTGCAGACATGGTTTCGGGTTCTGGCTTCTGGGAGAGCAGTGGGGACACCAGGTGAGACACCCGCATCTCAGGAGGCCTTCCCTGAGCCCATTCTCCAAGTTAACCCCAGAGGTCCCTCCAAGGGTACCTATCTGGGGCTCCAGACCAAGGTTTCTGGCCGAGATGGTGCCCCCTCCATAAGCAGTCTCTGCTAAATATTGGTCACCCTTCTGCAGAGACTCTCAGGGCACTAGGTAGCGTGGAATGCAAGAAGGGAGTAAGGCGGAGGGCCTTCAGGCGATCTGGTCGCTCTGCCCACCTGGCCAGCGTACATCTACTTGTCACTGCCCAACCCCCCTCAACCGATGCTGATTCTCCAGTTAGCCCCCCTCTAGCCACCCCTCTCCCAGCAAGAGGCTGGACTGGGTCCCTCAGTCTTCAAGAGTCCCCACTAGGACATCCCCAATCCATAGCTTTGTCCTGATGGGACAGAAGTTTCCCATGTGGACACGCAGCCCATTCTCCAGAGGCATTATCTTGCCGAAGGTCCCCTGTATCTGGAACTGTCCTAAATTTGGCTTCTCCTAGACATGCAAAGCTTCCTCCCCTCCCATGGACAATGGTCACTCAAGAGATTCCAGCTTCTCATCCACCTGGTGCAGGACCCTCAGCTTTCAACCGCAGAGTAATGGTGAGAGACTAAGACCCCAGTCCAACTGGAGTGGTTGACTGGGGACCCCCTCTTATACCAGGCATCCCTCACTAACTGCTCTGGGCTTCCTAGCCTTCCCACCCTCAGGGTGCTCTGTCTAGTCTATTGCCCAGATCACCCAGCCCCTTACCTCTTTGGAGCTCCGAGGCCCTGGCTAAGGCCAGGACTAGGCACACAGCCACCAGGTGAGCTAGTGGCAGCCCCATGGTGGCTCAGGAGGGTGGCACAGGAGAGCATCCCAGGGCAGGGGTCCAGGACTTATATGCCTAGCAGGCATCTGAGGGCGGGAGGACAAGGGAGGTGCAAAGGGTGGGTGGGGCATTTGCCGAGTTATCAGGAAAACAGCTGTAGGGGCTCCATGGGTCCCAGTGAGGAAATATTGATTCAGGTTATCTGAGTTTATCTTTATATGACTCCCTGGGTAAACTTGGCCTTCCTCAGGATGTCGCAGCCCCAATTATCCCAATGCCAGCACACACCCCAGGTGAACTCCATTCCTTCAAGTTACAAGCCAGGCCAATCTCAGGTTGGGAGAGGCAGGAGGTCCCCATTGAGCTCTGCCATACCCCTCTAAATGCCCCCAGGCCCAGCCCAGCAACCTCCAACACGTCCAGGTAAAAGAAGGAGCTTCCGGGTGTCTGCCAACTTCTCCATTCTATTTCTCCATGAGCCGTGTGGGCTGAGACAACTCTGACTCCTGAAACACCTCAGTTCATGTCACCTGGGGGAGACAAGTTTGGGAGGGGGCATCTGACCCCAGTTCGTGATCCACCTCCAGAAGGCAAGGAGCAGTGGGGGCCCCGGGGGCCACCTGTTTCTGTGGAGTCTGCTGTACCTACAGAGCCCAGCTAAGTCCACTCTAATCCCCTTGTTTTCCCAGGCTCTGCCAGTCTCTGGAATTACATGTAATTAGAACTTGGGCAGCCCTCAGCCCAGGCAACCACTCTTATTGGAATCATGTCCCCTGATGCAAGAGGAAGTAGCTGGAGGCCTGGAGTGGCCACTCCGTGAGAATGGGGTCTAAGCAGAGAGGTGAGCCCCAAACCCAGCAGGTCCTGTTCCTGCAGAGTCTCCTGAGGCTAATCCTTCTCCTAAAGCTCGGGCAGCCTGTCCTGTTTCCTAGCCACAGCTGTTACTCAAAGGATGTGATCCTGCGTCCATAAGAGCAGTGATCCTCAGTCCCCTTGAGCTTAGCCCAAAGCTGCAGCTGCCTCACCAATGTCTGGAAATGCCTCCGGAAATCAGGATGCAGCATCCGAGCTGGTAAAAGCCACAAACAAGAGCCTATGAGATACTGGTTCCCAAGGTCCACACAAAAATGGAGAGGCACAGGTAGCCAGCTACCCATGCTGTAGCTGGAGTGTAAACTGAGACCTAGGGAAGCCCCCCTCCCCCCGCCATGTTTTCCTCTTCCTGAAAACAAGGATAGGTCCTGACTTTGGCTTGTGATTTTGGTCACAAGGTACCTCAGGCTCCAATTTAGCCTCCAAGTTCCAGAGGTGAATGAGAAAAAAATACATCGAGTGGTCACAGACTCCCTAAATGGGGAATGGCATTTCCTTTCCTAGGCTGCCATGCTGCCCTTCTAGGCGCTGCACAAAAACCACATCCTGGGCTAAAGAAACAGTACTGCTGTCCTCTGACGCCACCCCCTTAGACCTCTGGACCCTCTATACCATCCCAGTTAGAATCTGAAAGGGCTCTATGCCCTACAAAGACATCCAAGATAAGAGTGACCAGCAGCCAGGACACAGGTGGAAGTCACTCTTCCCATCTCACTGTGCCCACCAGCTCCAGGTTTGGTCTCTCCTCCCTACTGTAGCTCAGGCACGTGGGAGAGCCTGAGTGTAGCCTGAGCCCAAAAAACAGGGATTATGGAACTAGAACCAGCTGGGCCAAGGAAACCATTGTTTGACTTCCCTATGCGGGCCCCTCAGGCTGGCACCATGCCCTGGGGAAATCCAAGGATGGACCAGGCCCCAAGAACCTGTGGTTTTCCATGCCAGGCTCTCTCTGCTATAGGGGGGAGTCAGAGGAATCCCGGCCAGACTCATGATCCCAGCACCAACCTCTAGCTGAGCTCTGAGCATCTGGAAGAAGTCCTCCCTAGATGGAGGAAGTAGGTCCTCCCTGGGAGGAGGAGCTGGAATCACCCTGGGTAGAAAAGGTCAACACTGTGTTCCCATTGGATGGAGCAGTGGTGATGACCCCAAGCTGAGTGACCTGACACTAAGAGACCTCTTGGTCCATTAGAGGATCTCAAGTGACTTATGTGAGCTTTGATGTCAGACAGCCCAGCGCATGGCTGGGCACAGTGGTCTAGGGAGCTGAGGCAGGGGCAAATGGCCGTGAGGGCTTTGTCAGCTGTGAATGGTTTCATTGCCTGCTTATCAGCTACCAACTCTGGTGGGGAAGGATGAGGACGAGGACAGCCTAGGTCGGGGGCCAAGGCTCCGTAACAAGATAAACATGAACTGGAAGGCACCGAGTGGCCACACAGAGGCCAGCACACATTTAGACAGATTCCCAGACCACGCTGAATGCGGCCGACACAAAGATGATGACTTTATCCACCTAATCAACCCCTCCTCTATACGGAGGTCTGATGGGCAGCTGCTATGGGCCTTGAAGCTCAGTTTCCCACTCTTGGCCCCAGAGGCCCCTCCCCCACCTCCTTGTAGCTTTTCCCCAGGGCATGAAGACTAGGATGAAGGAGAGGAGACATCAACACTTTGAAGAAGCTGCTGGGCAATGCCACTGTCTGCGACAAGGATGTGGTGACCAAGGTGAGAATGACGGCCCCACCCAATCACAGGTGGACCCCGCCGGGGAGCAGAATGCCTTCCCAGTCCTTGAGTTAGACCAGAACTGAAACTGACCGTGGACAGGGTCCCAGGCACGCTGGACCTTCTTCTGCTGACCCCACGCCCTGCAGTGTTTACCTGGACAAGACACTGTTCCTGGGGATTGCATAGAATTTACAGCCTTGACTGCAGGGAGGAGGCAGCAAAGACGTCACAGGCTCTTAACGTGCATGTTCCACTCGTCTGTCCACACACTGACTCACCCGGAAGCTGGAGGGAAGGGGAGGAGGGGCTGCAGGAGGAGAAGGGAGAGAGAGGCAGAAGAAAGGACAAGATGAGAGAAGAGAGAAGAAGGAGTCCACCCCCAAATGGGCATCCTCCAAGCCCCACTCCCATTCTCAGTGACCTCCTGCAGTGATTTCTGTTGTCTATCAACTTGGCTGAGTCTTAGTACCCAATGTTTGGTCAGACACTAGTTTTGATGTTGCCATGAAGGTAGTTTTCAGATGGTCCTCCCCAGAATGGGTAGTGAGATCTTGCAAAAAGATACTGAGGTCCACAAGGCAGAGAGGAGTCTACCTCCAGCTCTGCTTTGGGTCTCCCATTTGCTGACTTCCCTGCAGGTTTCAGACTTGCAGCCTGTACTGACTGGTTTTGTGTGTCAACTTGACACAAGCTAGAGTCATCAGAGAGGAAGGAGCCTCAGTTGAGGAAATGCATTTTCTCAATTAGTGATCAATGGGGGAGGGCCCCGCCCATGGTGAGTGGTGCCATCCCTGGGCTGGTGGTCCTGGGTTCTATAAGAAAGCAGGCTAAGCAAGCCAGGGGAAGCAAGCCAGTCAGCAGCACCCTTCCATGGCCTCTGCATCAGCTCCTGCCTCCAGGATCCTGCCCTGTTTGAGCTCCTGCTCTGATTTCCAATGATGAACAGCAATGCTGAAGTGTAAGCCTAATAAACCCTTTCTCCCCAACTTGCTTTTAGTCATGGCGTTTCATCGAAGCAAGAGAAACCCTAAGACACAGGGTCTATATGTATGCATTTACACATCCCCTGTGTGTGCTTATACACCCTCTGCTGCTTCGGTTTCCCTGGAGAACCCTGGCTGATGCAACTTGAACAACCCCTCCTCACTCAGGGTGGGAGGCAGCCATCCATCCATCCATACTGCAGCTTTATGAACCTACCCCAGACAGCTCTTCTCTATCCCTACCCCATTTTGACCTCAATGTGACCTCACTGGCGTTTACTGTGTCAGCCACATGTATGGTCTCAGGTCATTCCCCAGGATGCTCCGTAGTCAACTTGATTACTAACACCTGTTACAGAAACAGAACCTGAACTACTGAGGATCTTGTGTCTCGGTTGCTACAACAGTCTCACTCGGCACGGGAGACAAGGCTGGCTTAACACCTATGCTGACCACTGCCCCTGCCTCTTGTCATCCTAGCCAAGCATCCAACACCAAGCTACCAAGCCCCAGACAGCTGGACTTAATTGAAGTGGGAAGCTTGTATCTTGCCATGGTAAGCAGACAGAGGGTACTCCCAGAGAAGCCACTGTTCTCAGACCTTCTGGATTCCTAAAAGAGACCCCAGCCCTATCCACACAGGGATGAAGCAGCAAGTCCTGGGCATAGGCCCAGGCAGCCAAGCCTCTGTCACACAGCCGTCTCTGCAGGCCCTCCCCTGAAACATGAGAAAGGCAAGCTCCAAGCCGGCAAATGGGTCCCCCACCTGCACCTTCAAAGGCTTGAGAAGACTAGGAACAGACAGACCTGGCCACACAGTCCCTTACCTGAGTTCCCTGAAAGGAAGTCAGCTCTGAGCAAGGTGTGAAGGCTGAGATAAGAAGCAATAGAGGGGCTGGTCAAGTCAGTAGGTTCCACTGGGCAGGCACATACAGGACAGGCTACTGGAGGCCACTGCTCCCCCACCCCCATCTATCAGGCAGGTCAACCTTTCAAGAGTCCAGCCATTCTGGGGCAATTCCTCTCTTCTCCCCTCAAAACTTGGTTCAGTTCTCACACTCATAGAGACCACTGTCCTCACCACCCTGGTCATACTCTGTGACTGTTTCTGTTGTGAGTATCTCAAGGACAGCAATCTATGTGTAGTTCTCATGGGCCACCCTCACAACATATGCACCCAATAGCTTTGCTTCTGGATTGGAGCAGGGGGTATAAAGTATGGATGGGTGGATTGGTGTATGAATGAATGGATGGTGGGTGGGTGGGGGTGGGTAGATGGCTGAATGACTGAGTAGATAGTAGGTAGATAGGTGAGTAGGTAGAATGCATAGATGATGGATGGATGGATGGATGGACAGACAGGCAGATGGGATCGATGAGTGGGTGGGTACATAAACTTTTTTATGTCTTAAATTGGAAGAGATTTTGATTGAGGTTGCATTGAACACATAGATCAATTTGGAAGAATTAACACCCAGAAAGATCAGTCTTCTAGCCTGTGACTCTGCATGGGTTTCTGTTTAGGTCTTGTGTTCTCTCAGCAATATTTTGTAAATTTTCAATGTGCTGGTATTACATCTTGTCAGATTTTTCCCTCAGTAGTTCATATTTTTGGTAATTTTATGATAGGTATTTTTTATTCCTGTATCAAATTGCTTGGTGCTAATATATAGAGACAGTCAATTTTTATTGACATAGAAAACATGTAACATAACACTTTCCATCTTAGCTCTTTTTAAATACACATCTCAGTGGTATTGAATATCCCTACTACGCTGTGTGGCTGTCACCACCACTCACCTTGAGAACTCTTTTTTTCTGTTTTTTTTTTTCCATTTTGTTTTGTTTTGTTTGTTTTTCAAGACAGGGTTTCTCTGTGTCGCTTTGGTGCCTGTCCTGGATCTCACTCTGTAGACCAGGCTGGCCTCGAACTCACAGAGATCCGCCTGGCTCTGTCTCCCGAGTGCTGGGATTAAAGGCGTGCACCACCACCGCCCGGCTGAGAACTCTTTTTATCATGAAAAAACTAAATTCTACTCTGGAGAAATGGCTCAGCAGTTAGAGCATGCGCTATTTTTGCAGAGGATCTGAGTTGGGTTCCCAGCACCCACAACAAGTGACTCACAGTCACCAGTAACTCCAGCCCTGGGGGATGTGACACCCTCCTCTGGCCTCTGTGGGCACTCACATATGTACACATCCTAACACACACACACACACACACACACACACACACACACACACACACACACACATACACATAAATAAAATATCTTGCTGGGAGGTACCTATAGCACATACCTTTATGTGG